TGTCACCTGATTTATGTATGCGTGTGACATAGCTTACTTTCCAGGTATCGGGGACTAAAACATACTTGTATAGACAACGTCAATTGCAGAGGTTGTAATACTTTACAGATACACCCTAGGATCCACCAAATATTTTTGTTCCATTAAAAGATTATATTTCAATGCTTTTTATCTAACCCTGCAAATGATCTGTACCTAAAAGTTAATGTTCTTTTAAGTAATTTTTTTTACAAAATTCACTCTTGTCGTCATTTGCAGAGATTATCACTTTTGTCTTACACCAAATATTCTTACTACTTTTGTAGTAGATAATCTAAAACCGACCCTGCAACTGCCCTGTAAATATAAGTTTCCTTCTCTTTTTATATTTAGTTAAGTTTCTATAAAATTCATATTTACATACGTACCAATCTTCGATTGCAGGGGTGGCAACGTTTGTGGTACACCAAATATTTTTCTTTTTTAATAGATTGTTATAGGCAACTCCCTTTTCGGATTACGTAATTTTATAGAAACCTCAGACCTCGCTTAAGGGGGTTGTAACCTTTGTAAGTAGTACACTAAATATTTTTAATCCTTTGATAAATTATGTTTAAATGATCTTTCACCAACCCTAAAATTGCTCTCTAAAAAGTACAATTGAAACAGGTTTTGGTACGAAAAAGTGAAGAAAAATCTGCTAGTTCGCTAGAAAGGCATTAGGGAACGGTTTAAAGTGCTCTGGAAAAGTCGTCTCAAAGTGTTTTCCAGAGCTTTCTCCTTCACGCTCTCATTTGCACTTTGCAGGAAACACACGTCGAATCTGTACTAAGTGCACTCCAGCGAGAGTTTTTGATGCTTTTTGTTCTTTAGAAATAGCCTATAAAGCTCTCGAATGTATTTAAAAAGCTCTGGAAAGGACTCAAGGATTTGGAAAGTACCAAAACCATTTCGGAAAAACTAGAATATTGTGAAACGGTGTTGAACATCCCTGAAAGAGCATTCAGAAGAATTTTGCAGTCTGCCAGAATACTCTTCCAGAGTCCCTTGTGGGTTTTTATGTTTTATCAAGCCATTCTGGTTGACCTTAAGAATTTCGTAGTATGTTTTCCAAAGATTTTCTCTTATAATATGTATAATACAAGCTGCTATTATTATAACAAAAGCAATGTTAGAGATTTCGTAGAATCATTAACAAGAAAGTTTTAGAAGTGCCAGTTGGATGCTGGTCCACAAATTGCAATGTGGTAAGTGAGCAGAGAGTGCTGAAAGCAACTCGTAATCTCTGAAAGAATTAAATACATTAATTTGTCAAATAAAAGCTTTAGCCAGCAATAAGTTGAGTTTAGTAGTTTATGTAATAAATACGCGGAAATTTTCATTTGGTTGAAAAATTGATTTCGGCATAAATCCGACACAAAACAGTGCTGACAAACAGATTGGTCATATTATTTCGTCACATATCTAGCAAAATATACCTAATGCCTATTTTCCCTAGTTCTCATGTTCTGCCAACTTCACGGACCGATTTGCGTTTGTGTGGTTAATGCAGAATTCTTTGTCCATGGACGTTACAGAACGATGATGTTTTGAATTGAAATAGCCTAAAAGTTTCCAAACATGTCCAGGTCCACGTCGATATAATGTACGTACTACACTAAAAGTCAACGTGCTGTCGAGGAATGTATCGCGCGGTTCAAAGTGGTGAGGTGAAGTTTTAGCATTTCGGTAGTTGGTTTGGTTACGAAAACCTTTCTAACGTGTGAATATTTTAGATGACAGAATTTATTACGATGACCCAGTTTTTTTTTAAATTAACTCTTCTTGTTTCTAGTAATTTATATATCGGCACTTCAGATTTATATTAAAACAGCACACCTACAAGACATTTAGAATATTTACGTAACCGTTACCTTGATTACATCTTTAATAAGAACTCTTATTTTGCTTCTGACAATTTTTATGATCACTAAAATCACTTAGACGATTAAAACGATAGAGCATAGCATTATGCAAATCGATGGTAATGATTTATAAATATAAACAATATTTCCACTTATTTACAGAGTGAAAATGTAAAATATCGTCTAGCTACCGCTAGTCGCCCAGTGATATCATGATATATTGTTAATACACTAATTAATTAGCCGATGTAAAAGGTATACCGATCTTACTAACTATAGAAACTGATATTTATACGTAATAATATATCCACAAAAATTTCTTTTGAAAACTTGAGAGATGTGTTGTACCATTTATTTATTAATTTTTTTCGAATTATGAATACTATAATGACAGAATTCAAAACTATTGATAATATACTAAATTTAAAGGCTTCCTTTCATAGGTTAAGATCATTCCTGAAATCGCTTACCTTAAAGCTAGCTGAAAGGGTGCCTTCTTAGATAATGCGGCTAATTCTCTCGCCACTCACTTTCTTTTCCACCCTCTAAATCGCTTGGATCACCTTGGGTGGCAAAAGATTAGACCCAAGGAATATATCGATTTACAAAATTTTTTAAATATTGTTGATATTTCGCACGATTCTCACGGTACAGGGATTTTTATTTTACGATCTACCGGTGGTCTCAAGTTTAATTGTTCCTCAATTAAAATGTCCTTAAAAAGATCCGGCTTGATATAGCGATTGATACAATCAAAATTATCTCTCGCTAATTGGTATAATAACAATTTTATAGTTAATATTATTTAATCAGAGTGAAATACGGTAGGTCTAATGCGCTACTCGATTGCTAAATAGTTGTTCTATTCGTAGTTGTACAATAAAACTCTGCAGACATTGGCACTTCAGTCGTAAAGAATGGAATGCCGTTGACGGATTTCCTCATTTGCGGATTCTGTTGATTAATCGCATCATCCTTAAAGATCGTTACTTTTGTTTTGCATATTCTTTATTTTATAATATTGTACGTACCGTTATTATTGTCATATTTGCATAGCATACGCCTGTCTAGCTGTAATTTACTTACTACTTAAATAGGGTGTAACATAATAACAAATAGTTATTGCTATGAGTTGACAGAAAACCAGGAAATAGAAACTTATTTGCCGCACACGCTGAAAAAGGCAGTTGCGGTCATCTTCTATCTGCAACATGTCATCACGAAGCGCATATTTACAAGTACGCCCATGTAAATGTATTGCTCTGGGCTACTTAACTTCGTTTATGCACAAGTTATCAGTGCAAGAAACTGCACAAATTAAACCTCTGTGACATCCGTTTATAAGATGCTATAAGGAATTCAACATTCTCACCTTTGAAATTCGATGTGGTTTAAAGTGTACCGCTAACCTTACCATTATTACTCGGCAGAGAATGCAAAATGCACTAAGTACTTTTCGTGACCGCAGTCGATAGGTAGGTACGTTATTTACCTGCGTTTCCCTGCGCCACGAAACCCGCACTATGGTTCTAATCAAGACCGTATCCAAAGGTGGTAACACAGTGGTCCGCTTACGAAATTTACAAATCTAGCTAAAAACAAAAGCCCACCCTCTTCGGAAAAATACCTTTAGTTTTCCATAGGCCATCCCCGTCCGAAACATTTTCCAGCCTTTGATTTAAATTAATTCTTTGAGAATTTGATTACCATACGTGGTTCGAAAAGCAACATGGATTCTCGATGGATGGACGGACAAGTACGCATTACGATCACATAAAGTAGAGCAAGTTACAACCCAAGAATTCTATACATGTAGGGGTGAATTTTCTAAGAAATTTGATTCAAGGTTATTTAAAAATACACCGTGAAAGAAATAAAAACCGACCCCGCAATTGACGATTGCTATTCATGTAAGTCTGAATATTCCAAAAAAATTCCATTTAAACATAATCTATCCAAGAAACTTTCGGTGCAGACCCGTAGCCAGGGGGTGGCCACTTACAATTATACCAGGTAAAAATCGAAAACGGACACAAAAACATTAAATGTACCGGAAAGTCTTTACCCCTTACAAAATTATTACAAATTATTATGTATCTTAAAGTTTTAAAGAGATTGATACTTATATGGGTCTGTATGAAACCTAAAAGTTCTTAATTAATTCATGCGGTATCCTCATTTTGCATGGGTTATATTAACATGTTATTATAGTTGTGAAGGTTCTATTCAGAAATAATTGCATGCCGATTTTATCATTAACAAAACAAATTGCTCCAGTTCTATACCTTGTAATACCAAAAATAATTATTTTATTGCAATTCAATGACTTAAGATCGAGTTGAGATAAGTTTAACGCGTCGAAATTGATCCGATTTTATTATAACCAGGTGTAGTTGGTAGCTAAAGGACCACGTAAGGGCGTTTTTTTTCATTTCATTTTTGTGAAGTTGATGAGTAGGTAGTAAGGATGTAAAGCAAGAAAACTGCTTCCGGGAAATGCCGGAAGTACCTACCTTGCAATTTTGTTACTTAAATGATCTTTTGTTCCATTTTTGTATTCTATGCGAAATTTTGCTCCTTTTGATACTCCTGTGTTAATATCTATTGCATTTATGCTTTTTATATTATTTACACTGTGATGAAAAAATCGCGGATGTAAAGGGCAACTTAAATATCATTTTTAAGGATTAAAAAAAAATTGTTTATAGTATAGAGTGCAGTATTAAGATCGACGTCAAGATGGTAAAAACAAAATTTAAAAATATTATTTGGGGTGTCCGATCCGTCACGATAAGCTTTAATTGCTAGTATAACATTATTGGGGTTTCTCATGTGTTGTGTTGTGTTGGGCGTGTGCAAGCCTCATTGTGCGAATCCCCGTTTTACCGGTATCGGTACACCCGATAATATCTGTCGAAGGTGTTGCATATATACAGCACTTTTGAAAACACTATCTATGAGAGCTAACTTTTGAAATATTTTAATAAGTGTCTTTTGGAAGAACCAATAACCATTTGACTGCAGCAGTTTATGACAAACACTAGTATACACCTGTTTTTGCAAGAGAACTGGTTCGAAATTACCCAATGTTTGCAAAAAAATTCAAAACTTCAAATCGTGTCATAGGTAGGCGGCCAGTGGCGTAACGTAACCGCGTAAGTACAAGATTTACGTTTCTCTAGTAAAAAGTAAATTAGGGTCTCTTTGTGTCTTAGACTATGGAATAAGGGGACTGATAATATCCTAACAAGGAGTGTTTCACCAAATTTTCGTGTGGCGGCCTTATTCTCGGTGGAAAAAAAGCTTGTTTACGTTTACTCCATCAGCTGTTAGCATTTTCAGCCGTACGTGAGCAGTGGCGTACCTCCATTGTACTTATTGTACATTATTGTAATGACAATAAAAGATATGCTTAACTTTATAACGTATGGGTGCATTTGTTGCGTCGTGCACAATGTCTACTTGTTTAAATAAGTCTGTGCTACAATTGCTGATTTAACCTTACGTCAATGAACAGCTGTAGGCTGGGTCAGAAAACAAATTAAAATATGCTTCACTTTTCGATCATTTCGTTTATCCCTCCTCTCTCTTTTCTACGCTAAACGGCTAAACTAACTAACTCCTTAAAAATTTTAATAAGTTTCTTTTGGAATAACCAATAGCCATTTGGCTGCAACAGTTTATGGCACACTAGCATACAACTGTTTTTGCAAGGGAATTGGTTCCAAATTAGTCAATGTCTGCAAAAAATTCAAAACTCCAAATCTTGCGGCCAGTGGCGTAACGTATCCGCGTAACTACACTACAAGGTTCATGTTTCCTTGGTATAAATTAAATTGAGTCTCTTTGTGTTTTAGGCTATCAAAGAGAGGAGAGAGAGAGGCATCCTATCAAGGGCAATGCTGAGCGGTGAACCAAACTGGATTGGAGCTTATTGTAAAAACTTGACATGCTGATATAGTGTGCAGATTAGAAGTTAATTACAACAATTCCCATATATTGTCTCAATATGAAACTGATGTAATATGCGATATACTGGACTATTCGCAAATGAAACTGAATTACAGCAAGAGTAAGGTATTTTATTCAATCGCATGCTTTTTAATATGCCGATATGGAAAAAATTCCACCTTAAACAGGAACAGATCAGCTAAGAGAGCGGGAATTGTTGGTGTTTATTTAAAAAAAGTGCATATTTTTGAAAATAAGTACTTTCATATGATTACCTATTACAGCGTACTACAGTAAAACCATCTTGACCTTAGAAAATTTGCGCATGCATGTTCGGATTCGTCCGCACTTGAGCGGCGATTCTTACCAGGTTCGGCTATAATGTATATTCGGAACAGAAAATTACAACCAGAACAGAAGTAGTATTTGCACATTACTCACGGTATTAATGCCAATACTACTTCTTACTGGGAGTGTACAATCCCTTCCCATGCCTTCTATATTAGCTGCGCAAAGCATACTTTTTCTAAGATTACAGTGGTTTTACTGTACTTTAATTTGACCGAAATTATTTGTTGTAAAATTTTCGCTTTTATGTTTCAGAAAATTTGAAGCAATTCCCTGTGTTATTTAACTTTTCAAATCTGAAGGTGTCGTTTTAATTCAAATCAATTCAAAGAGTAAGGCAAATTATTTTGTTTTAAATTTTCCCATTCATTAAATAGTAAAAAGGCGTTCCGGTTCCATACATAATCACCTACAACTTATGCGCCTAAAGAGCCTCTAAAAATAAAATTGATTTTACGCATAGTTTGGCGCATTTATACTCGAGAAATTTTCCAAAAACGAAAAAGAAAAGTATGGCACAGTACCTTATTTTAATCCATGAAGATGAAGTTCCGTGGATTTTCACTGCAGTTCCTTGGTTAACACTTTAATTATCCCGGCGTTTTTAATGATTTTTGATTAGAAATCACACATTTACGAACATTTTTCTGTTAAATAAATTCCGCGCTCATAAAACGTTACCGCGAATAGTACGATTTAAGTTTCATAAACACGACGCGCATGCCAAATGACTACGATCGGTGAGCCGATTCACTTCCATCAGCCAATGGCAAGCTAGCTTGTTTCGAACTAACAACGAACACCTGCTGTTTATCGCAAATGTTATCGGGTATACGTCCAATTCGCTATATTTTTGTATTAAATTTATCAAACTAATGGATTTTGAATTAAAATGCATTTCTTATAGACTGTATACTTTAAATGTCAAATTTAGGTACTGAACGAGTCATTTTGGAAAATTTGCGTTCCCATTTATTCCAATGGGATATAGAGAGTTTTCTGTTTTCCTTTATGTTCTTCCTCGTATCGATAGCTGGGGGAAAATAATTGTTTGGAAAACATGCAACTGGAGCGTTTTTTGCGTTTTTCATGCAAAATTCCGCACAGTAGATTTTTCCAGTTTGCAGTTACTCCTTTCCACTGGGTTTTCAGGTTTAAGTGAAACCGCTTTGCTCCATGCAAACGCAGCGGCGGTGGCGTAAATTCGGAAATATATACTATTTGGAAAATTTGTTAGAAAATTGCACACCTTGTTCTTCGTGCAAATTTGCAAATGCGCAAGGAACATTCAACAATTTAAAAAAATGGAATGATTGGCACTACTAAAAATTGGGGTCATTGAACCTATGAAAAAAAGGTCAATTTTGTTCTCTCATTTTCTTCCTCTCTTGGCTACACTCTTCTTTAGATTTCTTTCTATATCCCATTGGAATAAATGGGAACGCAAATTTTCCAAAATGACTCGTTCAGTACCTAAATCTGACATCTAAAGTATACAGTCTATAAGAAATGCATTTTAATTCAAAATCCATTAATTTGATAAATTTTATACAAAAATGTAACAAATTGGACGTATACCCGATAACATTTGCGATAAACAGCAGGTGTTCGTTGTTAGTTCGAAACAAGCTAGCTTGCCATTGGCTGGAAGTGAATCGGTTTGCCGATCGTGCCTCGTCATTTGGCATGCGCGTCGTGTTTATCGTACTATTTGCGGTAACGTTTTATGAGCGCGGAATTTATTTAACCGAATAATGTTCATAATTATGTGATTTCTAATCAAAAATCATTAAAAACGCCGGGATAATTAAAGTGCTAACCAAGGAACTGCAGCGAAAATCCACGGCACTTCATCTTCATGGATTAAAATAAGGTACTGTGCCATACTTTTCTTTTTCGTTTCTGGAAAATTTTTCGAGTATAAACGCGCCAAACTATGCGTAAAATCAATTTTTTTAAAGGCTTTTTAGGCGCATAAGTTGTAGGTGATTAATTGAATATGTATGGAACACCCTTTTACTATTTAATAAATGGGAAAATTTAAAACAAAATAATTTGCCTTACGCTTTGATTTGATTTGAATTAAAACGACACCTTCAGATATGAAAAGTTAAATAACACGGGAAATGGCTTCAAATTTTCTGAAACATGAAAGCGAAAATCTTACAACAAATATTTTCGGTCAAATTAAAGCAGTACGCTGTAATAATCAAAGTACTTATTTTCAAAAATATGAAGGACTTTTTTTAAACAAACACAACAATTCCCGGTCTCTTAGCTGATCTGTTCCTCTTAATGTGAAATTTTTGCCATATCGGCATATTAAAAAGCAAGTGATTGAATACCTTACTCTTGCTGTTATTCAGTTTCATTTGCGAATAGTCCAGTAGGTATTTATCGCATATTACATCAGTTTCATTTTGAGATAATATTATGGGGATTGTTGTAATTAAATTAACTTCTAATCTGCACACTATATCAGCATGTCAAGTTTTTACAATAAGCTCCAATTCAGTAATTCATTACAACTTTGAGTAACATTTTTGTGTTTAAAAAAATTGTAATTTCTCACAATACTAATATACTGATTTAAATCCTCTCCATTTATTAACGAGCTCCTAGCGAGTTTATAATTTTGCGGTGTCTGTCCGGGCGTCCGTCCGTTTGTCCGTCGGTCCCTTAGTACCATTGAGTAATTCACTCAATGTTAGTACGATAACTCATAAACGAATGGACCGATTACTAGGAAATTTTGTGGATCTTTATCAAATTTGTAGATCGGAGTGCGTGAATAATTGGCAATGTAGACCAAAAAATAAAGCAGGCCCTTTTGACATCTCCGTTAGTTATGAACCGAATTGCATGAAATTCAATATGCGTCTAGCTTTAGCCATATAAAACACAATTCCAAAAGTTGAGCCTAATCGATCAGCATCCACAGTGCCATTTGCGCATCGCTCGACCATTTACAGACCGAATTGCAAACTTTCTTATTTATGAAGATATTTAAATGAAATTTGATACATAGCCACCTGGAATAAAAGCAAATTTAACGCCAGTTTCCAAATTTGGTTTTGCGCATGCGCAATGCCAACTTTCTTATTTATGGAAGCAATTACATGAAATTTCATACATATACACTTTAAATAAAAGCAAAACTAACATTTGGTTTTGCACATGCTATAGCCATACCCAGGAGCTCGTTTGCTATATTTGTTTAATTTATTACAATACCAGAGTGTTGCATTAATTCCATTTAACCCAAAACCATGGATATTGTTGTAAATCAATAACAATTTATGCAATTTACCAGTATCTCGAATTTTTGCATGTGATCGTTCTGTAAAAAAGGCATATTTGCTACAATGTACGGGTGTAAGGTGTTGCTTTAAATTCCTTCGAATTATTACAATACACGGGTATTGCATTAATTCACGTCCTGCATTTAGACGTGATCTGGTAATTTTTATGCTTACGCCAATTAGTTGGCTACTCTGCAAGCGTGCAACTTCAGAGTGCATCTTAGACTAGACTAGAATCGGATAGCGGTGACGTCAAAAATGTGTGGGAAATTTGAAATTCTGGACAGTTGAATATTGTTGTTTAGAATTTGACCCTTAAGTACACCTTATTTAAGGTTCAATATTACACTTAATACCGATTTAATGGACCTTAAAAAAGAAATAATACTTCTTACGTCTCAGTCCATCAACCCTAAGGTTTAAATTCTGAAACAAAGATAAAATGGGCCTTAAGATTTAAATTGATTTTGTACATCGAGCTGTTTCATAGGGCGCGTGGTGTGTTTATATTGTATACTTTTAATCAGCTAACTTCAAACATAACATAACCTGACCTTCTGTATTGTGTTTGATTATACTGTATTCCCTCTTTTTATTTTATTTCAAGAATTTCTAGTATTAAAATAATGCGGGGTGCTTATAGAAGATTTTAAATATAATCTATCAAAGAAACAGAAATATTTGGTGCAGGCCCGTAGGAGAATGACCAGGCGGGTTTCAGCCCCACCTAGAACGTACCTAGTCTTGTCCCCAGCTGGGAACTATGGATGATGGCTTTAATTGTTCCCTTACCAAATACGAAATATAAATACACCCCTCAACATACTACATACAAATTACAATTACACGCTGTAAGTAAAATCGAACAAGTAAACAAAAATATTTAATGTACCTCAAAGTTTACACCCCTTACAATAGAAGATTATTAGGTATGTATAAGTTCGCTTTGTAAAAACAAAACAAGAGAGCCAAAATATTGGAAGTACGATTTAAAATTACAGCCCTTACAATAAGCGGATTATTATGTAAAAGTGGATTTTCCGGGAAATGCCGGAAGCACCTACATCGCAAATTAGTTGGCAATCTCTATCTTTTGTTCCATTTTCTTCTATGTGAAATTTTGCTTCTTTTGATACCCCTGTGTCAATATCTATCGCCCTTATGGTTTTTATGAAAAAATTATTTATTTATATTTATGGAAATACTGGAATTTAAAAATATTATTTGGGGTGTCCGATCCGTCACGATAAGCTTTTTAATTGCTAGTATAACATTATTGGGGTTTCTCGTGTGTTGGTGTTGTGTTGGGCGTGTGCGAGCCTCATATATTGCGAATCCCCGTTTTACCGGTATCGATACACCCGAAGATATTTGTCAAAGGTATTGCATATATAGAGCACTTTTGAAAACACTATCTATGAGAGCTAACTCCTTAAAAACTTGAATAACTTTCTTTTGGAAAAACCAATAGCCATTTGACTGCAACAGTTTATGGCAAACATTAGTATACATCTGTTTTTGCAAGGGAACTGATTCAAAATTAGTCAATGTCTGCAAAAAAATTCAAAACTCCAAATCTTGATTCATTGGTATGCGGCCAGTGGCGTAACGTAACCGCGTAAGTACAAGGTCTCGTTTCTGTAAAAAAAATTAAAAGAATCTCTTTGTGACTACGGAAGAAGGAGACTGAGAGTATCCTATCAAGAGCAATGCTGAGCGTTTCGGGTGGTGGCCTTATTCTTGTTGGAAAAAAAGTTTGTGTACGTTTTCTCCGTCAGCTGTTTGCATTTCCAGCTCTGAATGACCAGTGGCGTGCCTCCATTGTACGTATTGTACAATATTATAATGAACATAAAAGATATGCATAACTTTATAACGTATCGGTTCATTTGTTGGGTCGTGGTTCTACTTGTTTAAGTACATTTGTTTTTACGATATGTACACTACGATTCACGATTGCTGCCAATAAGCTGTAGGCGGCCATTTTGTGGCTTGGAAACGAAATTAACATTTGCTTCACTTCACGATCATCGCTTATCCCTTCTCTTACCTTCCTTCTTTAAACTTTGTTTCTCTTGTATCTCTTTGTATCTGACTTTTCTACTTAATTTTATTGAAGTAAATGGTTTGTTATTCACCGTAAAGTGTATGTGTTTGCTCGTTCGTCTCTCATCTCACACAATAGTGAATGTTTTATTTAAGACGATGTCTGTATTAATAATTGCATGGTATGTGTTGCCGTGCGCCTGGAAATATTTGCTAATTCAACACATTCCTGCTGATGTCTCACACGGTCTGGCTCTTGGTGATACAAATACCAAACATTCTAATTTTTGCAAATATATTTAACCTAAAGAGGCATTTAATGCCCCTTTTTTGAAAAAAACGACTTAGTTAAACAAACCTGTGATAAACTGTGTAAAGGGATACCAATACTTTTTTTTTCATGTAGGCACAGTAAAATGTGTCAATGAAACAACTTGAATAATTTGTGAAGATATGTTCTTTTTAACGTAACCTTGAAACTATAGACACCCGCCATTACGCACGCTTTCAGAAAGTGTAAAAAGAGCTTTAGGTTGACAGATGGTTTTTGATCCGACCAATAAAAAAGAATCTTAAAAAAAACAGTTGAATCAAATAATATTGTCTTCATCCCACGCGAACTCGGCCATTTTGCCAGTTTGCCTGAGAGCAGGAGGGTGTCGATACAAGTTATCGTCTAAAGCAAAAATGCTTGTCAACATACTAATTTCACTAGGATGTACGTAAGTTTTGGACATTAACATTAATTATTCATACGTATATTTTTTCAGTGATATTTATGGGATGGTATCTTTCACAAATTCATTACATGTATCGAGTGGCTCAGCCCATCAACTCAGATAAAGGACAAAAATATTAAAATACCTGTATATATATCGCCGAATATTTGTTAAAATTATGAAAATTCCATGATCCGATACCAACAATGACTTAACTTTAGCTTTAACTTGTAAATAAAAGTTTCTCCTCCTGTTTATGGTGGTTTTATTAATAGTTTATACTTTCGACAACATTCTCATTGTGATCGCTTTAGGCTAAAATACGAGCATTTCAAGTTCAAAATTGAAAATTTCCAGTAAAGACCTTCACCCACTTAGGGTCGATACTTCCATGCTTGGTTAATCTTAATTTTGATTAATATCCGAGTGATTGCCAAGATAGCTGGCCTTTGCTGCATTTAGAAATCTTAATACAGAGTAAGTGCCTTGTACAGTAATTGACTGGCACTTAGAATTACGATATTTATTTGTGAACTTGAGATCTTATGCCAACACACTGATAATTCCCAATATATGCCTTAAGTATACATTTCCATAGTCATCTCGTAGGATCTTACACTATATGCCCTAAGCTGAATGTACTGTGGTTAGGTATCAGAATTTATAACGTGTCTTCCAAAGTATCTAAATGACAGTTTAAATAAACTTACTGGTCCCAGCTCAATGGAACTATAAGTTTTATGGAAAAAATACAGTTTGCCCTAACACATAAAAATTGATTTTCACTTCGCGCATGCACGTTTGTA